ATGAAGCATGCAATGCTATTAAGATTTGTGTTTACATCATTTTATTATTCCAGAGAATTTGTAACCTAGTGAGAGTTTTTTTACCATTTTATTTTAAAATTGAAATATTGAAATATTTTAAAATTAATGAATTGAAATGAATTCCTTTGAAACTTGAAGGAATTCATTTCAATTCACTAGAAAGTGTTTTTTATCTGCCTTATTTACTTGCCTTGCTTAATGTCAGTATTTGTGAGTCCAAAAGTGATTACAATAAGTGGATTCTACTGTATTTATAACAACAAAGACATTTTTCAACTTTAAAAATTATTTATTCACTTTTTTTAATAAAAAATTACTTTATAAAAATTATATAAAAATTTAGGAAGGGCCCTGATGAAGAGCCCAGAAGGGGTTTGAAAACATTTGTTTTTGTACTTGTTAGTCGATTGTACCACACCGTAAATTGGTTCAGTGCATGTGATAAAAAATTACTTTATCTGTTTGATAAAAAATCTAAAATTTATTGTCTATGTATTAATTTTAAGTTCATTTTAACAAAAAGTATATGAATAATAATGTTATTAGTTCTATTTACTAGTATTACAATGATTAAATACTCCTGTATAAATTCAAACTAAAAGTGTTCCAATAGAAGTAATTTCTAACAAGAACCTATAAATTAATATGTACAATTATTGGGCTGCAATTTGAAAAAAAAATGTAGCCCTATAAATTCCCCCTGTCTTTCCTTAATCTCGAGAATGGAGTTATATAGATGAAATCCAAGACCAGATATGGAAATCTTAGGGCTGGAGGCCCTGATTAACTATATAAAAACTTCCAATGCAAATCGGAAATCATGTTATTTCAATTCAAAACTTTTTCTCTGAAAGCAGTTAATAGACGACTGGAACGACTCTATTGTTAAAGGAAAAATATGATGTACAGGGGCAAGATCTACTAATAATTTGCAGTAAAGAGTATATATGTTAAATTAAATATATGTTTAAAATTGCAGCCCAGCATTGTGACAATGTCACAATAAGTAATTGTTTGTTTTCATATTTTTCTTTGCTGAAATAGTTTTCTATAAATTACAAAAATAAACATTTGCAATGAAAATTCTTCATTTTAACTTTCCATTACAAGAATCAAGCCTATAAATATAAACATCTAAAAACCTGATTTTTTTTATTAAAACCAAACAACTGCCAGATTATATGAGAACTATATTACTTAACATTTAATTATTAATAGTAACATTAAGTCTTTTTTTTAATGAACTGATACTGAATTTGACAATCAATCTGTATAATTTTGAAAAACTATAATATGTATAAATAAATATACATGATTGTATCTCAAATGTTGCATAAATTTGTACAAACTCTACACGTATGTGTAAAAATAAAACTATTGACTTCAAAAAAACTATTGTAATTTTTTTCATATTATTATTAAGATATTAATTAATTAAGAAATGTTAGAAATTCTTTACTTTAAAGTCTAAAATATCATAAGATTTCAAACTATATATAACAGGTTAAAATCAAACTTTTACAGTTTCTAACTTTAAATTTTTCCTGATTAAACTCTGTTTTCTCAATCAGAAAGTCAGAAAGAGTATCATCACTTTAGGCTGAAAATGTCAAAATATTCATTTTAAAAACTTCCATTTCAAGAATTTTTCATTCAATACTGTTTTTTAATGTTACTACATGTATATTTTATTTATTTTTATTAGTATTATAGATCACAAAATGCTGCAAGGTGTATCAATACTTTGATATTATATGCAACATATCCAAACTCCTTTCTTTCAACTTAAATAAACTCTATGTGTTAAGAAGACTAGGGAGCATTTTGAAAAAACAATTTAGGAAATTCAAAGCACTGTTGTAACTTAAATGAATAGAATAGGTTTGAAAAATATTGGCTTGACTAACGATCAAAAGTTTTATTTACTAAGTTTGACATTATATATGACAAGATATTGCTTACATTTATTTAGTTTTATTTCTTCTGAAACTAATTTGCTTTTTATCAATAATGATTTGAGTCTCATTCCACAAATAGGGCTGATACATATATAAAGTAATAGAAATTACCACTTTAAAATGAAATCTGTATAAAGAAACATACACAAATCAATTAATGACAACAAATTTTTTCATATTTTCATTAGTTGGATAATTAAAATATAAATTTTAAGAATACTTGAATGAATTGTTTGAAAAAATATTTATCAATTGAACCGTCTACATAAAAATTTTGATATTTTATAGTTTGTTGGTGAATTCTAATCTTTGTGATTCCATTCCATATTCAAATATTTTAAAACAGCGATTCCCAACCTGTGGTACGCGTACCCCTAGGGGTACGCGATAGGTTGTTTAGGGGTACAGAAAAAAGTTAGTTATTATGGCAGAAAAAATAATATATTATGTATCACAAACTAATAGTATTAAAAAATTATTAGATAAAAAATGTTCCTTGCAACAATCACAACTTTATTATACATTTTTTCTTTTAGGTTTTTTTTCTTTAATTTAAAGTTACAATATGTAAAATTAACAATAACGCTTACTCACTAAATTTCTTAAATGAGGGGTACAATCTAGAGATATGACATGTCATGGGGTACAATCTAGAGATATGACATGTCACGGGGTACGCTAATGAAAAAAGGTTGAGAACCACTGTTTTAAAAGAAAATAGAAATAAGTCAAATGCTTTCAGAAAAATCAATAAAGCAATTGCATTCACATGTTAAAGTAAATCTTTCTTCTGGAAATTTTATTGATTATGTTGTATATAGATATCAAGTTCATCCTGACATTTTTTCAGTTCCTCAGTGAAAACTAATTTTGAACTGCTTTATATATTATTATTAATAAAAACATGGTGATATTTCCCTTTTCCATACTTTTACCTAAATCCAAAGATATTTTTAAGAATGTCTTAAGAATTAATATTTAAAAAATTCAATGAAAAACAATAATTTTACAGGAAAAAAATAAAAAGTTGTTAAAAATACAGTATAAGAAATTTATCTATTTGTTGTAACTAAAAATATTTTAAGATTTATATTGATATTTTTAAAAAATATATGATTTTGATTGCAGAATGATTTAATTTTTATTTTACATATCCTGGTATCACTGGTATCACTGGAGTCAGGTTTTCAATCAAGAAATATAACAAAAATTTATTGAAACTCTTATCTTAATCTATAAATATCTGTCTGGCTGTCCTCAACAATAACTTTGATAAAGTTTCACTTTTCCTTAATCAAAAAGCTGATATTTCATAACAATAATGTAAGCTCACAATAAAAGCAAAATATACAAGTGTACACACATATCTATAAGTTCTGGAAATAAAAGCACTTTTGCCTTAATTACTTAGGTTTTTTCAGTAAAAATTGTTTTGGTTAGAAAAGACAAAGTTATTTAGTTTTTATTGTATACTCACATATCTTTCTCTCTCAATATTTGCTAATTGCCTTTGTATCAGTTATATAGATTCTATGACAAGATAGAGATTGAAAGTTATTTGATAAGATATTTGAGTAGGAATTTCTAAATTAAAACAAATAGAATCAAGTTGGCCAAATTGCAGCTCCCATATACAATTTCATTTTATAAATTTAGTACATATTATTTATAAATACATAACGTATTTTGTAAGTTTGCTGACTGTTATGTAATGTGATATACATGTAGATTGTAAACATAACCTTGAATATGTTTCTAAAGTAAAATATAAACATTTATAGAATGCACCATGCTGCTTTATTGTTATCCATATTTGGTTAATAAGCAATATTGTTACAAATAATTACATTCATCTATGAAAGTGATTAAAACTAATGTTCACAATTAATAAGTTATCTTCTGAAAGAATTAATATGGAGTGCAATTACTGAATATGAACCAAATTTTAAACATGTAGTATCCCACTACAAACTCACAAACCTCCTACCAGTAAGTAAGGAAAGCTTTATATATATTTAAATTTTAAAAAATTTATAAAAACCTATTTTCATAGAAAGTTTTTTAGATAGCTTTTCTTACCAACCTACTCACACATATGCATTCTTAGCCTGATATAACAATGACAACTACAGTATTTTAACTATGTATAATATAGAATACCATTCCAATAGGGATTTAGCACTCCCATATTTCTGACAGGTAATATATAATACCTGTTGTGACAAGATTTAGCCACCCCTATAGTAAAATAGTCTAATATCCTGTCTTAAATTCATGCATGTTTTTTTTCATACATAAAAAAACTGCCCAATAACTCCAAAACTTTCTGATCACACTATATTTATAGGGTACAGCAAAAAAAGTATTAGAAAGCATCAATGAGTTCAGTTCCAGGATGTACACTGTCATTGCAGCTGCTAGAAAACACTTCAAAAATATTTTAAATACAGGTATACCTCGACTTACGTCGTTTTGAGTTACATCGTTCCCGATTATATGTCGTTTGTCAAAAAAGTATATGGAAAAATAAAAATCAAGTTTAAGTCATTTTATTCAACTTTACGTCTGTCCGCCACAAATATTAAAGTCATAATATCACTAGAAAAGCATTTAAAGCACATAAAATCATATTAAAATATATACATTTACAAGTATATACTGTATTTATAGTACATGCATTCGTAAATTTAGATTACTTTTTTCTGTACTATATTAAAAACTATAATTTATTTGTTTGTAAGCTTAAAATAGATCGTTATTTTAACCACATATTATTAAAAATGCATTAATAAATAAAATACAGAACTGGAAATGGTAATTTATGGTTTAGCCTAGTGACAAGTAGATTCGGAGACAAGTAAATTTGACTTACGTCGCTTTCCTGGAACCAATTACCGACGTAAGGCGAGGTATACCTGTATTTTATATTAAATTTCAACATTTCTTTTAGTAAATAAATCAGTTTTCAAGATTCAACAGTTTGTTTTTCTTACTTTATTTATATATTTTTTATTAACTTACTCTTGTCTTCTAGATAAAATCTTGTAACTCAACTTTCACCCAATTTCTGATCTAGTTGAAACTTTGTATACATATGTATTCCTGATTTCAATACATTTTGTAGGCAATTTTAACAGAAAATTAGCAAAAAATTTAAATTTTATGTGGAAATCATTTTAAATGTACATAATTTTGTTCAACATTTTCTTTTCATTTAACTTATAGAATGTTGCATATTTACAGGACCAACAGACAAGAGCAATAAATTAATTATGCTGTCATCAATAATGAAATTATTAAAATAAAGACTTTTTTATTTGCTGTTATACTCAATTGAAACTACAAGCATAGTGGCAAATAACTATTTATGGAAATATTCCGTGTGAACTATGAGAATTTATATGGGTAAAAATTAGCAAATTGAAATTATGGCAATGCTTTGAAAATAGTTAAAGAAAAAGGATTATGGAAGAAAACTGCAACACAAAGGAAAAGACATTTGAAAAAAGCTAGACAAAAGCATGAAATGAAATTAGAAACAGAGTGCAGAGGAAAGCTAAAAAGTAGAAAATATATATATATATATATATATATCACTCATAAAACCAACACCAACAAATAACAAGAAAAAAGGAAAATTTATGAACATTTTTGTCTACGTGAAATAGACACCCTCAGGTATATACATTATTGAACAAACAGTTAACAAAAATAGGATATTTTTTAAAAGTTCAGACTGATGTATTGAAGTAAAAAATAAAAATATAAAAAATTTTAAACAAATTTTAAACAAAAACAAAATTCATATAAATGCACTGAAAAGTAAAAAATAAATTTCTTCAGCTTTCATGGTATTCTAGATATTATGCAACCAAAAATACTGTGAAAAGTGAAGAAAATTTATTTTTTACTTTTTGGTGCATTTGTGTATAAAATTGTTTCTTTAATCTTTTTTACTTTTTATTTCTTTCTAACACCTCTTTTGCCTCACCCTCTATTTATCCTACAACAAATTGCTCCATACTTTTATGACCATATCTTTCTGAAACAATTGTAATATTAAAAGCACATCATATCTTAGGTTTTGCCTTCATCAGTAATGCATATCTGATTTAGAAATTCATATCTTCTGTATATCATCATTAGCTTATAACATCAAGAAATATTTTTAACTCAATTCATGTATGGTGTAATATTTTGTCATCTGCTAATCTTCAAACTTAATTTTTTTAAAGATATATTTCATACAGATAGCAGAATTGTATAATTATTCAGGTTATTAAGTTGTTATGCTGTAGCATAATTCCTAAATTTAATGGTAATTTAGTATTCAATATTGAGAAAATTATTGTAAAATCAAGAAAATTAAGGCTGTAGTGTAACTATATGAGTTTATAGTTACACTACACTCTTGATAATCTGGCCAACCCTTGCATAGAAGAGTGCCAGATTAGTGAGAGTACTGGATTAGTGTGTATAGATCTACAGCTTGCCTAAAAGTAATATGTGACCTGTCATCCTTTGGTAGGAGCTATTAATTACTATCAATATCGATTGAACATAGACAAGGAAACAAAGAATGGCAGTGATATCTTTGTTAAAGGGTCAACAAACATATAAACTCAATAAATCATTTACATGTAAAGTGAATTGGTTCATTGGCACCTTTGTCTTTAGTGTCTACTCAACACAAGAACAAATCATCATCATATGGTAGGATCCTGACCTTTTGGCTGGTCAGGACACACAACTGAAGAGAAATCATGAGAAAAGAAGAGAGGACATGATGAAAAAATAAAAGAATTCTCCCAATTAATTAAGTAGTGTCCATGTACAACATGGTAAATAGATTAAGTTAGAAATATACTCTTGACTCAGTTGATGATGTCTACTTTGCTAAGAGATGGAGATACATGGACTTATTTTGGAAAGAAGGCTAAGATAGGAAGTGTGGAGTCAACAGACCAAGTTCTGGATCCTTCAGAAAGATGCAGTACAGACAAAATTGGAGAAATAGCAGACAGAGCTTTGCAGGAAATCAATCTCTATAGTAAACAAAAGGAGGATTGTGCACTTTCCAAACCTGAATGGTACTGAGGCAGATAGTAAAATAATACAACTTGCTGACATGCAATACTGTACACAGAAACAAAACCCAGGTAAACAGAATGTATGATACAATTAACATTTTCCCAGAACAGAAGCACATAAGCAATCACACTGGGGTATGCCAGATAACTGAGAGGCCAAATTATCAAAGTATACTTTAGTAAAATTATACTTGGACCAGCATGTGAATTACCGAATCATGTACAATGATTTCCATGCTTTGCACCACTTAAAATTATAAATATCGTGTCTTAATTAGCTGAAAATTTTTAAACTGTTGTATAAGATAAATTTTTATCTTGGAAACATGTTATTGATTTACTAGATCAATAAAATCTTTCTAAATTATATACCATTTTTATTTATATTTTTATAATCACTCGGTTTTATATTCTAAGAACTTAGTTAATATTGATAACGTTCCCAGTAACAAAATCCCATTTAAATTTAAATAACCAAGTGTCATTTATATAAAATATGCTAACTTCTTTGCATATTCTAGAAATATTACATTTTTGAAAATCTTTATTCAGAAAACAAAATTAAAGAAGCTTATTTAATTAATTTGTTATCTGACAGACAATAATTTAATTTGTGTGAAAGTTCTTTCCGCCTAACTCACTTGCAAATCTCGATACTCTGCAACAACATGCTCGGCACTCCATCTCGCCGCCATCTTGTAGACACGAAGACACCACACGGCTAATATTTGCAATAAATTAATTGAAGAAGTTAAATTTTATATACATTTAATAGAATATTTTTTATTTCATTTATGAGTTTTTTTTATTTAATGAAATTATTTATATTTTTCTTTTTACTTATTTTTGAACGGCAGAATTTACAATTTTATATAATTATTTATAAAATATTTTGAATTTCGGGTATTCGTGGCGTCTTCTATATAATACAGTACAGACAAATTTCAAGTTATTTAACTTGTATTTACAATTGCTAAGTTAGGAATTCTTCTAACATTGATGCCATTTAATATTTATAGCTATATATTATATACAGTATATATAGACTATATAATTCCAAATTTTTTTAAAAAATCTTTTTCCGCTTCTGGCCAATTAGATAAACCACCGAAAACTAGTAGTTGGTCTTGTTTTCGTGGAGTTTTCCGGGTTTTTTTCACATTTGTAACACCTAAATAAGCCCGGTTTCCATAGAAAGTCTTCTTGGGACACATCCCTCCGACATATCGCCCACGTTTCGCGTTGCCTTGTACAAATAAAGCAAACCGAACCTTTTCCCGCCCTATTGACACTAAGAAGACTTTTTTAATCATTCCCATAATGAATTCGGCCAGGACCGCAATAGGAACGGCCGAGTGGATAAGGAACGGGGCTCGACATATCCATCCATGAAAAAATTCCTGGGTTTTTTCATGGTTATAGCCAAGACGGACCCTGGAGATCCCCAACCCATTCGGCCATTCGGGCTTTTATATATCTAATCAATGAAACATACCTAGAATATTAATAAAGGCTATCGGTTACAGTCACTAATAAATTATACATTTAGATTATTATGAATGGTGAATATATTTTGTCATTGCTACTATATTAAGTAGAAATTGATTGATTTTAATACATTAAAATCTCATAAACTATTGATATTTCTTTTATCATAAAAATAAAAACTTATTTATTTTCTTATTGAAGTCATATTCTTAGAAAATAAATTTTCTTTTGATTTGCATTTAATATAGACTGTATAATGTATTCCATAGATTACTACAAATTATATCTATCTACTCAATTAATATAAATCATAAGCTATAGTATTGATACAGTCGAGCCCCCTATAACACTGTTGATAATTCCGTTTTATATGAATTCCATGTTGTACGAGTCACTTAGATTTTACAAATACGTGTGCCGGGCTGTGAACGGCTCACGTATTTGTAAAATCTAAGTGACTCGTACAACATGGAATTCATATAAAACGGAATAATCAACAGTGTTATAGGGGGTCGACTGTACTTTCAATCTAAATAGGGTGAAAATATAATGCTTACTTACTTAATTCTCGTGTAGATCTTATTTCTAATACGCTTATGTGCTGTAATAAAAGCAAGAAAGGTAAGCCAAAGTTCAAAGATATAGTAAATTACAATCATTAAGTTTAAAAACAGCATTTGAGGTTATTTTTTAATGTGTTAGCCACTGGCAAAAGTCAAAAGGAACCAGGGAACCCAAACCTCCTTTGTAATAAAAGTATAAACATTAATAATTTAAATATGGAGTAATATAAATTAAATAAGTTATTTCCATGATATAAACCATTACAGGATATATATTTAGGGTCTAACTTTTATATAAGAGCTAATAATTCTACTTGTGAGAGCATTGAACAGATTGATTAAAGAAAAATTCAGTTTAAATTGATTTAACCCGGTAACGCCCATTGTGGGCCACTGAGAAGAAAACTCAGTAAACTCCATGCAAATCCACCATTTGATCGGACTCAAATTCATGACAACAATGGCCTCATTTCAGGCCATTGTTGGACATAACCGGGACTTACTGCCCATGAAAAATTTCCTGTGATTTTCCTGGATTTAACTCTCCCAAAGCAGCAAGCTGATACCTTCATCGTCAGTTTTCAACTGTATTTTTAAACTTAAATTGAATATGTCGGGTTCCTTCTCTCAACTACTCGATGGCCACAATGTTGTTTTGCCTAAGCCATAATTGATGTAAAATAAAAATCATTAGTGTCCCATAGAACAAAACAGAATTTTAAAAATAATATTTATTGAGCTGTATATCTGCGAATATCTATCAAATTATTTACATCTTTTTTTTCAGACTAAGCACAGAGAATTTTTATTTTAATCAAATAGGGGGAGGGGAAAATACACAAAGCCTGTTTTATAATTTATATATAAAACATTTAAAGAAAACATTTTTATTTATTTTTTTAAACATTTTATGCAATTTTGATATATGTAAAATTTAAATTTCTATTTATTAATAGATTATGAAATGTCAAATAATATCCAGCAGTTAGAAAACCATTGAGATGTTTCTTCTTTATTTGTAATAGATAAATAAAGAAGGGAATTCTTATTCCCATAAGTTTATTGAAAAAAAACCTTGCCTAAAGCATTATGTTCTTACGAGAACTTTTTAAAACATCTCTATTTATTGATGACTTGAGACCTACTCTCAAATTTTAGAAAACGTCTTAAAGAATTTCTACTTTTTTATACATATATATAAACATTTGATTAAATTTAAATAAATTTTTTAAAAATAAAATATACATTTTATTANCCTTTTGAGCCAGCCATTGAACAGTTGTAGTTGGCGGTGGGTTTGCACTTGGCCAACAGGTTGACCACGTGGAATTTTCTTTACACGTGTAACACCAACATATGAACCAGAATCTTACTGAAA